AGCCACTCCTCCAATCCTGAGCATGAGCATCTTAGAAGAAAATGGTCTTCCTGAGCCTCGCCCGCAGGAGGTTAGTGGTGGGAGATGAAGGGACGAGTCACCTAAAGCTCTAGAGCACATCCTTTCTTTCCTCTCCCATCCAGTCTTGCTCTTTCTAAACCAGGTGAGAGATGAGCTGAAGCAACTAGACACCAAATGTGAGTGATGAGTGAAACGGTGTGCTGCCCTCCCACCTGCCACTCCTTTACCCCTCCAGTACGATCGCCTTTAACCTGGGTCTGTTCTTCTCACAGAGACTGGCCAATGGTGGACACAAAAGAGACGCCATGTGGGGAGGAATGTTCCGGCAAGTGGAGGCTCTGCAGGCCAGGAATGGTAAGGAAGCCAGAGGCAGGGGTGGGTTGTGGGAAGAGAGCTGGGGGAAGGAGGTTGTTCTTTTTAGCATGGTTCACAGAGGTAGCTTCTGCAGCAGATGACAGCGTGAGGGGCGTTTTATGCAACCCGACTCACAGGCGAGGTTAGTTTCCACTTTGATCCACTCCCTATTTCCGTATCCTATCTTTGGGTAGTCTAGCCAGGGAATGGACATACGCAAAGGCAATGTGCTTTTTTGCAATGTGCCAGTGATAGACCCAACCTGATTATCTCTTAAAATTGGGAGCCATCTCTCCACAAAGCCAGGAAAAGATAATTTCAGTTTTACTATAAATTACTGCAAATTCTGAACCTGCTTGGAATGCCTGCCCGTGCCTTGAACTCACCCCTGCCTGGCTCTCTGACCAGAGAGCAACCCTCTCTGAAACTTTAGTGACGCCTCACAAATCTTGGCCTTCCCTGGCCAGATAACGACCCTCTCTGAGGCTCTAATGACCTTCATAAATTCTGATGTCAGGGCCAGCAAAAATGTAAACTAGCCTTTGTGCTATGCTTGTCAGAGTTTTATTATCTGTAACCCCCGCCCCTTTATGTGACTTTCTGGGCTATAAAGCTGGGCTGCAAGAAAGCTGTGGGCTGTTTTGTTCCCGCGGTTTTGGGAGGGAGGGGCAGCCCGGCCGGTGGAAATGATAAGCTTGCTTTAATTTGATTTTAATTGGAGTCAGTGGTCTTTTCTTGCGGCCTGGTCTAACAAAGATGGCTCAGTCTCCACCTTCAAGTGAGTCTCTTTGGGGGTTCAGAACCCTTAGCTCCAGGCAGTTCCCAGTGTGTTCAGCTCATCTGTTTCCAGTAACTCCTACAGGGATTTATATGCTTCGGGTGTTCAATGAACGTATACACACACACACACACACACACACACACACACACACATTCTAAACATTTCTAAAACATTTAGGAAATAGAGTAGGGACTTTCATATGACAAATTGTGTTCTTATAAAATGTCAATCATGCAAAGAAATGATTTCCTGAAACGCTGGCCCCAGAGTTCCTGAGGTATCTGTTCACTCATTCATTTGCATCACATACATGCAAGAGTTTTCAGTAGGTGATTGTTAGAAAACTGGGGTACTCAAGTGGGAGTGTTTGACCTTCATGGATGTATTGTATTGTATGCAAAATATCTTGGTTGTCATACCTGCATATGACAGGTATTTGCCTCTACTGGGTAGAGATAGGGATGTGGTTTATGTGGTCTGATGTGCAGCAAATATCAATAGTTCCAAGATGAAGAAGCTTTCGTATAATCTACACCATGAAGGTTTTCTTCCCTTGGATGTCACCAGTGCCCCAGGAGGTGGGAGAAGAACTTCACCTGGGATCCTGGCAGGGAGAAGTCAGTGGGAAAGGCTTATTGTGCCTGAGCTGTGCTCTGTGATCACAGGACTTGACTGATACTTGGATGTATTTTCACAGCAACTGGAATGAAGCGCTTTCTGATCTCCATTACTGGCATACATGAAACATCTGGTCACTGATCCAGTTATTATGGCATTGAACTTTTCACCCGACATTGGATCTGTAAGAAGCCACAGATCTGCTGAGCTGCTTTCCCCTCTATCCTCAGTTTATCCTGGGGTGCAATCTCATTAACCACCCCCAGCTTCTCTCCAGGAAAGAAGTCTCCCTCAGCACCAGTCCTCCTGTGCCTGTCTTTTCTTCTTAAATTCTGCAGAGACACATAAAATGATACTGGGGTAAGACAGCAAGCACATATGACTTAGAGAACTTCTCACAGGAGAAAAATAACACAGTTGGTTCAGAAAATAAATGGTATAAACAAGATTGTGTGTGTGTGTGACTATTATAGAGTAAAATTGTCCTATGAAACAACGGAATTAATGTTTGGTTCTTGTTTGGATTTTGATGAGAAATGTTGTGTTTGAGGAAACAACAATATTTGAGTACTCACTGGGTATCATGACGTTTTAAGACTTTACTAACTTTGGGCAGGGTGGTTAATTAATAGTAA